AGAGTCATAGTTATGCCCCAGACCCTAAAAGCATTAATTAAGATGGGACTGCTCAAAGACAGCCATTGTGAATCATGCCCATCTCCAGTGGGGACATTTCTGAGAATTACAGGGACTTAGGCAGAGTTTACATCCATTTTCCTCTACTTCTGAAACCTCTTTTTATTTTGAAAGGGAAAATTAAGGGGGAGGAGAAAAGCTTAAGGGCAGAACAATTGTGTATAAAACAGGGCTACTGCTAATTATGGTCTCAAAACATCATCAAATGCAGCTTGAAAGGAACTGAAGTGTTTGATAGCTGGAAGAAAAAGAGGAGGAGGAGAAGAAAAACTCTATATCTGAATTGTAGCCAGAGTGAGTGCATTGCCTTTAAAAACCATGATGCTGCTGTTTTCCATGTGTGTACATCCTTGAGGCATGAGACCTGGGAAGACACAGAACAGAATCACTGGTGGAGTTGAGTGTTTGGGCCACAAAGAAGACAGCCCATTGAGGACTGTCATCAATCAAACCAGGATTGAACAGTAGACATGACCTGAGTCACTTGAGAAGATGGGAAAACAATTAGTAGTTTACATATATGTATTATGCCAACACTAACTTTATAGATATTGGTAACTATTTTCTAGATAATGTCTTTTAAGATGGTTGGTCCCAGTAAATGAGAAAACAAAACAAAGCACAAAAAAAACAAAAAAACAAAAAACCTGACCCCAGATAGAAGTATAGTTGTTTCAAGGATGAAGAAAAGAAAAAAGAAAGACCTGTCTAATAAAGAAACAGAAACTGTTCTGAGCTAACAAGGGATGTGTGGGGCTTGAAGAGATGACTGTATATAACTCTGAAAAGAAAGAATGACAGTCAGCAAATGTGGAAGGCAAAGGCTGCAGTTACACTTCCTTTATGTGTCACATCTCTCTAGGGGTGTGGGTTACGGAGGGCAAGTCTGTCCCTGTCAGCCACGGCACTCTAGGTTTTAATGCGCTCGCTCCATGTCCTCCTGAGGAGGAGCTTTCAGTGTGGTGTGTGACGGGTGAGAAGATGCTAAGATGTCCTTGTTCTTTACTTTCTCCCTGTTTGTTCCTTCGGAGTTACGTCCTCACTTGTCATTGATTTCCATCTGTCTGCTTCTCTCCAAACAGCCTAATCAGAATTGCAGAACCTCCTGCGTTGGAAACATCAAATGCAAAAGCACATTTGACCTGTTACATATTTCACATGTGTGCTCCATTCCGTCTCCTTCGTGTGAGAGCTATGTTTCCACTACCATGTGTGTGCGTGCGTGCGTGCGTGTGTGTGTGTGTGTGCGTGTGTGCGTGCGTGCATGTGTGTGTGTGTGTGCATGTGTGCGTGCGTGCATGTGTGCATCAGAGCAGCTGCCAACCCAAGTCTGACTCTTACGTTTTCCCCATTCTCATCTCAGCCCCTGAGGGATGTGCATGTCGGCCAGCGTGAAAGACCTGGTTCCTGGGTCCCAACTGACCTTTACAGGACCCGAGAAACAGTGTTATTTTAGGGCTGAGACCATGACCTTGGAGAATCAGATCCTCAGAAAGATGTGCTGAACTCTGTCCACAGCAAGACTGTGTTTCCACAAGAAAAAGGCTGTATGACTGTGAAGCCACCAGCTCTGGCCTGTCCCCCATGAGCCATGTAAAGCATGTCACCCCGGCCTCCATCTCCTGCCAATCAGCTTACCATGCCCCCTCTTCTCTGTAACAGTTCATTTGTTTCTATTGCATTTGCTAATATCCTTCTATCACAGTCTTAGAACCTTCTGCCTCTTCTGTGTCCATTTCTTTTTGAGCTGATGTTAGACTATGAGGACATGACTACCTGATGACCTGAGCTTAGTTACTGTCGCCAGCCACATCTTTTTATGACCTACTTGGGAAGAACTGCCTGGCATGGGGAGTATACATGCATTCTTTAGGAAGGCATGTCTGCGATCTTCCTTCTGCGAGAAGAGGCCAGTGGCAGAAATGTGCACAACCCAGTACCAACCACCTGGCTCATCACCCATTCAGACGTCAGCTGACTACACTCCCTCCATCAGTGCATTGGCCAGATTCCACATGGAAGGAGCCCCACGTCATAACTTACAAAGGGGACCTGGAAAGGAGGAAACCTAAGAAGCTGGGAGGCTGACACCCAAATGGTTGCAGCCAGTGACTTTGACATTGGCCTCGGTGCCTCAAACTTCCCTGGGTGTCACCGCTGATGCACTGCCTCTGCTGGCTGCTTAGCAACATCTGACAGTGCACAGAATTCATCCAGGTCAGGTGCTGCGCTTGCCCTATTGCCGCCCTTGCTACAGTTATCAGTGGCAAACAGAAACAGATACAGCTCCAGCATCCTGAAGTTATGTCCAGTGCAAGAAGCATCCCGTGTCACCACGCCAGTGTAGCTGGTACAGCCTCTGAGGAAATGCTCAGGGCACTGTGGCCTCCAGGGGATGCAGCGGCACAGGCTGAACCCTGAAGGATGCCGGTCCTAGCTACGAAAGGGAATAGGGATGGCCAAAGGGGAGAGGACGATGTTGCGGGTGGTGGAAATACTGCATACACTCTGGCAGGCATGGCATCGCAGAACACTGGCCTGTTCCCAAGAAGGCCAAGAGGGTGCCATGTCTGGGCGATCTCAGGTGACTGTCAGTCCCGGAGAGACTGCGTATCTTTCACTTTAGCAGCCCCTGTTCATGGCTGTGGTGGACACTTAATGTGGTTTTTTTAGATAAGAAGCTCTGCACTTTCCATTAGATTTCCTATCTATTAAAATGTCATTAGATTCCCTACCTATTAAAACAGACAAACAAACAAATCTGAAAGGGCTCGATGGTTGCAAAAGTGGCCTTCCCTGCTACTAGGCTGGAGGCTATCTGAAGGAGGTCATTGTGTTTCCTGCCTGCTCCTTCATAGTCTGTTTACAGCCAAAGAAGCTGTGCAGTAGGACCGAGAAGGCAGGTTCTAGAAGAAACCTGTGTGGGCATCAACAGAGAGGAAGGTTCTTACAGCATTTTGCTTGTTCCAAGCCAACCACGGCTCCCTAGCATCCCCAGATCACTCCATGCATAGTGAGGGCTCTGTGCCCCACTGACTGACCTTTTCACGAGGACTAATTTAAGTCATTCACAGTCTCACCATTTCAAGTCTCTTTAAAGAAGTTTCTCTTCCCCTGTTGTAACAAAGGCGCATGTTATTTAAAGGCCAGGACACTGTCAAGACTTCTCAGAGGTGCTTAAGACTCCCATCTGTAACCAATGTCTCCAGGCACCTGAAGACACACCATATAAATTTTACAGCCTTCCTGCTAGCTACATTGTAATTAGGGTATTGGTTGAAACCTGCCGTTGCTGTTACATGCCTGTCTGTCTAATCCCTCCCTCTGTCAGACAAACTGGAAACTGAAGTTGGAAACCACATAACCCAGTTTAATTGCCTGTTTATCTATTTATCTAAAGGTGTTCCTTTACCAGACGTGTTTAGCCTAACATTTTACAAGACACTGGGGTGCTGGCATGAATAAGACTGTTCCTTGCCCTCTAAGAACCTTCTGGAAGGGGAGAGGATGAAAGATTGTGCTGGAAATTTTAATTGGGTGGAGGGAACACACAGAAGACGCATGCAGACAGGAAACCAGAACTGTTGCCTGTCTGGGACTGTGTTCTAAACAAAAGCAAAGGGGTGGGTCCCAGGAGTGGCTCCGTTTTTTACTCAGAAGCACGTGACCATCTCTGTATACCTTGTTGCTTCTGTTTCCAGTGTCTGTGTTGTGTCCTAGACAGTAAATCCTCTGTGGGTTGAGTGCCAAGTGGGTGAGGGCTCACCTGAAATAACAGTGTGCCGTGATTAGAAATTCAGGAATCCTTCCCACCACAAAGGTTTCTCCCTTCACATGTCAGATCTCCCATCTAATGCCTCCACACCCATTAAGGAGCAGTTTGGGGGTTTCCTCTTCTTTAGGGGCACTGCAGATCTGTTTCTTCTAGCATTGCCTCAGCATCCCCTGATGCTCCGTTATATACCCTTTACACCCCTCTCCTCTGTCCCCTCATGATGGACTGATAGACTTCATGTACCCCAGGCATTTCCCAAACTACAGCCGTTATTCCTAGTGCTAGGCAGACTGCTCCCTCCAAGCCCGTGTTTGTGCCGCTCGCTCGCCTCTAGTGTGTCTTTGCTTCTTGCCCCAAACTGTCCTGAGCTTACCATTCCAATTCTGCACCATCCCCTGGCACCAACACCTTCCTGAGATGCGCTTTTGTTGAAAAGTGACATCTAGAAACCAAGATCGGACATCAGGGTACTCGCTGCCATGGAGACGTCACTGCTCCTGATCTTCTGTCGCTGAGGCTACAGAGTGCACTAAAAACAGGAAGCACATACCATGTACCAACATTTCTTCTAAAGAACGAACCTGTCATGGGGGTCTTTGCTCTTAGAAACACACAGCAATAATGTGTGCTAAGTGAAGAGCATTTCCTATCCTTTATTTTTAATCATTTATGTGATGTATGACACATGTTCATGTGTGTGGGAACACGCATGCATGTGATGGAGCACAGAGTACAACTTGTTTGTCACTGAGCGAGCTTCCGGAAATTCTCCTGTCTCCACCTCCAGTCTCCTGTGTCACAGTAGGATTCCTGGGCTAGCACATCTGGCTTCCCAGGGTTTCTAAGGGTCTGAACTCCTCAGGCTTGTACAGTAAGCTCTGACTCACTCAGCCTCCTCCCAGCCCCCACAGTCTTTCCTCTCACTCAGGTTCCCTGTAGCTGTGATTTTAGGCCTGGGGGGGGAGGTTAACCTCTTTAGAGGATCGGTGCCTTGTTGCTGCTGTGGGACGGGCTTGGTAGTGTGCCTCAGGTTTGTTCTGACTGTATCGAGGAGGGATTGGCACTTTGCTTGTATCTTTTCGGAAGTTCATTTCATATCATGCGTTTGCCATGTGCCTGTTAACGTCGGCAGGCAGCACTCACAGTGTACTCCGCTTGCTCCTAGGTGCGGCCAAATCAAGCCCAGCAGCTAAGCCGGGATCCACACCTTCTCGCCCCTCATCTGCCAAAAGGGCTTCATCCAGTGGCTCAGCATCCAGATCTGACAAAGACTTGGAAACGCAGGTCATACAGCTCAACGAGCAGGTAACACATTGTCCCCACCCCTGTCTCTGGGAACACTGATGTGTGTGAGGTGTGAGGAAGTCACACCCACAGGCCTGGGGGAAGGGAGAGAAGGTGAGACAGAGCCAGAGAGAAACTAGGAGGGCCCGCTCCAGAGGGCAAACTCGGCAGCCGATGACCAGCAGTGTTAGTCACAGAGCCTGGCGCCAAGCATGAGATGTGGAAGACGGTGCACAGTGCAGGCCACCCTCCCAGACCCCTAGTCCTCCGTGCCCACTCCTGGCCAGTCTAGAAAGTGTTACAGCTCAGCTGGCTCCCTCACCACCCCTTCATTTTCAGCAGTAAGTGGTTGAGCCTATTTTTATGTGACAGGCACTGCTTAATCCTGGGGGTGTAAGGATAACAACATGGATGGATGACACTGTCCCCTCACTTCAAGCCTACTGACAGGAGTTGCACATTAGAACTTAGTACTTAAATTAGACAGACAGACAAACCAAAAAACAAGACAAAACAAAAACCAACCCTCTCTACAGTAGCAGAAGTGGGGTGCCTGGGAGCCCCAAAAGGCAGCAGCTGTGTTTTAAGTGGAAATTTTTCCCTGCCTTAACGGCCGTCTCACAATTATAGTAAACCTAGCTACATCCAACGTGAAACCTTAAGTATGGGCGTGGGGTGTGGCTTTGTAGGAGAACACCAATCTAGCTTGCAGGAGGCCCTGGTTTTGATCCAAAATGTTTTCTAACTCACAATACATAACTTTGCCTACAGTAACACAGATTGAGATTAATAAAACCCTGGAGAGTGTGGTTCCCGCTGCAGAAGCCAACTGCTTCCCACACCATTGAGAAGGCACCTATGACTGCAGATCCTTAGGCTGTGCCCAGTCACTAGCTGAGCCTGTCCTAGTCACTAATCTTCTGCTTGATAAGGCAAGAGTCTGAAAACAATGGTTTGGTTTGGTTTTTGGTTTTTGGTTTTTTGTTTTTTTTTTTTTTTTTTTCACTCAGGAATCCAGAGCAGAGTCAGACAGGCTTAACGAGGGCCTTTGAGTTGATCACATTAGCAGTTCAGGTAAAATCTTAAGCCCTCTCAGGATTCTGATTGTGTAACCATGGAATGTTCTAGTTACCTGCTGATATTCCATGGGAGGGCAAAAGGTTTTCAGTAATGACTTCTGCTCAGATTTAGGAAAAAAAAAAAAAAAAAAGGCAGTAATGAGCCTAAACCACAAACTTAGGGTGGATCTGGTGATAATCGAGCCTTGCTCTCCTCTTCCCCAACACCTTAACAGTGAAGGGAACACACCTCTTCCACTGTGTCCTTCAGAGGACAGGCGAGACACAACCTAAACTGGACAGATATTTACCAAGCCTCTCACTCAAAGTCCATATCCCTGATGACCCAAGTCCAAGTGCCTGCCCTTGAACCCTTCAGGAGCAGGACCCGAGGCTAATGGGTGGCCACACAGTGTCCCGGTGTAGGAATTAAGAACACAGGGACAAGAAGAAGCCGAGTGGAAATGCAGAGGCAGAAGCATGAGTCGTGGCTGGGACAGAGAAAGTGACAACTGCCATCAACTTAAAAACCTCCCGTTTACTTGGCTGTTTCTTCATTCAGGCAGTCTCTCATGATAAGCAACAAAAGCACACTGCGCTGCACAATCCAGGGGCAGCAGAAGTAAAGGGAGGAAGAGGTATAAACGAAATGCTTACAGACTCCCTCTGGACGGCTAGCCAGCAGGAAATGCATTGGGGTCACTGCTGTCACAGGACCTCTGGGAGGACCCATAGGCCGAGGACACTGCTGGGAAGTTATGACAGCAAACTTCCCCCTGGGGCCTTTGAACTTGACTTTCTCAGCCTCCGTCACTTAGGTGCCTGCTGTGACCTGTGAGGAATGAGGCTGAGGCTGCCCGTTTGTCCCTCAGTGGCACCATTTGAACTGAATTGTATTTGCCAGCTGATCTTAGATCATTTAAAGTAGCCACTGCCAGAATATATATTTTGTAGCCCAAACTGGTTTTGAGCTCACAGCAATTCTCCTGCCTCAGTCTCTTGAGTCACAAAATCACTGGTGTATACCACCATGCCCAGCTGCTGCCCATGCTGTCCATTTTTGTGGTGGAGACAGGTGTTGACAGGTCCATTCTCCTTTAACTAACATATCAGGAATGCCAGACTGGCCCAGACCAGTCTGAGTATTTCCACAAAAGGCTCAGTGTGCTGTGTAGACCACCATCCAGAGGCTCAAACTGAATTCTGTAGGTTAGCTGTGTGTGCTGTGATTTGAACGTAAATACCACCCCTATTCCCCCATTGTTCCCAGCCAGCAGTGCTATTAGGAGAGGTTGTGGAAACTAGAAATTGCAGCCCAGCTGGGGTGCTGAGTGTGGTAAGCCTTGAAGGGGATACAGCTTAATCCCGCTTCTCATCTGGGTGGCTGCTTTCTGGCCAGCACCATCTAACAAGCAGCTGCTACTGGCTCCTGATGCTAACAAACCATGCCATCCATGCCATGATGCCCTCTGTCCCCCCGAAGCTGTGGGTCACAGTAAACCCTCCCTTGAGTTGCATCTGTGGAAAGGAGCTAAAGCAATGTCCCCGATTGGTTTGGGGCAGCTGCAAGTTGTGATCCTTCTGCCCAGCGCAGGGCTGGGAGGGAGTCTATGGCTGAGTTCAGAGATGGGATCTAGAGTCAGGGAAGTTTTCCTCCCTCTGAAATGCAAGCTGGTCACCTTGTGTTTTTGCAGATGTGTAGTCTTAACAGGAATAAAAGCTCAGTGTTACCTAACTGAACCCACACACATTTGCCAGTGTTTATGTGAGGACATCTGTGACATCAACACTAAGGGCCCCATCCCAGCATAGATATCTGTTTGTCAGTTGTGGGGTAAAGGAATGGCTGCATAAACCAGTATGTGTTTGAATGTCAGTAATTTCAGGGATCATGTACCAGAGGCCCACCTTACTGAGACAGAGAGGGAGAGTCAGAGAGGGAGAGAGAAAAGATTTTGCACCTCAAAAGTAATACTAAAAATAATATACTGGCTTGGTTTGTTTGTTTGTTTTTTAATATACCTAAAAGCAAACTTCACCTAAAGAAACTATGAGACTTCATTCATTCCCCGGTGTTTGCTATGCCAGGGTTTCTTCAGCCTTCTGCATCCACAACCCCTTTCACTCCGGAAATTTCATGTGACACGAGGTTTATAGGACTTTAAAAGAGAAAACAAAATAAATGAAATGGCCATAAGTCATAAAGCAATTTTACTTTAAAAATAGTTCTCTGGAACCAGCATGGTGGCACACACCTTTAATCTCAGGGCTCACTCAGAAGGCAGAGGCAGGTAGGTGGCTCTCAGGGGGTTCCAGGCAAGACAGGACTGGAGAGAGAGGGAGAGAAGACAAATTGGCCTACTAATGAAGTGGTGTTTCTTTTTCGAGCAGTACCATACAAGCAAACTAATTTGCGGCTTGCTTGTAAGGAGTGGAAAGTGTTGGTGTTTGTTTTCTGTAATTAAACCATCATGTTTCTTTAAGAACAATGTGTGCAGGGAGAGCGTACAATTCAACACTGGTAATGCTCTGTCTGAGTTGAGATGCCTCAGGCAGCATATGTTGGCGATGTGTGGTGTGACAGCGTGCACGGAGCAAAGTGTCTGGTGTTCCTAACCAAAGCTGCAGTGAAGTCCCACGATGACAGGAGAGCCGTGCCAGGAACCCCTCGAGTCCATTGAGCATTTGATTTCTAATTAATCTCTGATTGTAGAACACCACCAACCTCTACTGTTGCCAAATATTTTTTTAACCCCCGCCCCCCCTTACATTCAGTTACACAACTCAGTGCAAGGTCATGCTCCATCAGTTAAGAATCTTTGCTCTACATAAATGTAAATAAAGTATTACAAAAGAGGAGACTCTCCAGGACCAGGAGCAGGGAATAGTTTGGACCTGTGTATGGCTATTATACATGCCAGAGTTGCATCCTAAGAATTAAGTCAACAGGGCTCCTTTTCAGTACTGTCAATACCCTGAATGTCAGCGTCATGGTCCTGTCTTGATTATTAGCTCTAGCCCATGATTTACACTGATGTAGAAATTAGAAACTCCACAACTCTAGCAGGTCCCTAAACCCCACCTGGGGCCTGGAGGTGGTTGGGGAGATGTGAGCCATGTTTGTCTGCAGCTCCTCTGCCACCCGGCCCTTCCAGAGATACACACAAAGCCGGAACTGGAAAAATGAGGCAGACGGATGTAGCCCGCCTTCCATTTCTGCACCATGTTCTGTGTACACCAGGATCTGCCCTCTCAAAGGACAGCATCCGTCTGCTCTGACTCGACATCTGAGGAGTGGCTTTTAATACCAGTGATCTGAAGGAAGGGTCTCTGAAAAAACACAACTCTCTTAGAACCTTCCCAGTAGATTATGAAGGAGTGTTTTGAGTCTGTTTGGGATGTTGTAACAAAAGGTTAAGCTGGTGGTTTGTAAACAACAGAATTTTATTTTTTACCATTCTGGAGCCTGTGGGGTCCCCTATCAAGATGTTAAAAAAGTAGAACGATCCCTTAGGCTCCTTCCATACTCGTTCACCTCCTAAAGGCCCTGCTTCCTGATACCATCACATTGTAGGGTTACAGCGTGAGAATTGGAGACACAGACATCCTGGATCACAGGAACAAGATGTGTTTCAGCCCATGTTACCAAGAAAAGAAAGGCTGTGTAAGCTCTGTTACAGCTATACTAATGAGACACCCTGGCTGGATAATAAATACCGTAGCAAGAAGTGGCCAGCACGCCCCTGGGATTGGACTGCAGGCTGTTTCCTGTCCCTTACACATGTGTCTCTGTGTCTTACTCCGTGTTTTTGCGTCTTTGTGCACAGACATAGCGGGTCACATTACTTATTGTATTTTGGGGTTGTCTTCTGCACCCCACTCTTCTGCAGGTACATTCTTTGAAACTTGCCCTAGAAGGTGTGGAGAAGGAAAGGGACTTCTACTTCGGGAAGTTGAGAGAGATTGAACTGCTGTGCCAAGAACATGGGCAGGAAAACGATGACCTCGTGCCGCGACTAATGGAAGTGCTCTATGCTTCAGACGAACAGGTGGGTGTGTGAGGCCACCCGCTCCTGAGTCTAAAACCACTCCTGCTCAAAGTGAAACACGCCATGCATCTTACATACTTTCCTGGGGTTTTGAGGTTACAACATAACTGGTGGCCTTGATGGTCCAAGAGAAATGAGTATGCTTGCCATCAAGATCTCTATTCTCCCGTGACTGTGAATCCATAAGTTAATGTGAGAGGAGTCAGGCAGAGGTGGGGACCTAAGCACACAGCCAGGCCCCAGGAGATCCTCAGCCTTGACCAAATGGACAGGACAGGTTTGCATGAAGAACTGTTAAGTGAGAAAACAACTTTTCCCATCCCTTTGGGCCCCTTTGAGCCCCGCTGCTGACCAGGGATGTGGCTTTGTGTAGGCAATGAAAGGATGCGCTGGGCGTGGTGGGGCACACCTTTCGTCCTAGTATTTGAGAGATGGAGGCGGGAGTGTGAGGGATACATAGTGAATTCAGGGCTAGCCTCGGCTACATGAGACCCTGTTTTAAAAAAAAAAAAATGGAGGCCAGGCATTGAGGCACATGTCTTTAATCCCAGCACTGGGGAGGCTGAAGCCAGTGGATCTCTGTGAGTTTGAGGCCAGCCTTGTCAATGCATCAAGTTCCAGGCCAGCCAGGGTTACACAGTGAGACCCTGTCTCAAAAAAAAAAAAAAAAAAAGAAAGAAAGAAAGAAAAGGAAGGAAGGAAGGAAGGAAGGAAGGAAGGAAGGAAGGAAGGAATGAGGAGGAAATGAATTGAGTAGGGGTTAGGGAAGGACATTATAGACCAAACAGTTGACAGGCGGATAAACTACAGAAACCTTGGTGAGTCAGCGAAGCCTATATGTCTGCCAAGAGGGCAAAGCCTGGCCCTGAGGAGAAGTCAGAGGCAGACAGGAGCTTCCTCCTTCTACAGAGCTCAGCTGCAGGAGGCGAGAGCCCAGGGCCCGGCCTTGAGCCTCTCCTTACCCTGGGCCAAAGCTGCTGAAGTCTTTGGCTCTGTGACCTGGAGGCCTGTGGGTGCTCTGAGGGTGTTGGGGTGGGGGTGCGGTCACATGTGTTAGTGTTTCCGAAGACCGTAGCGAGCCACCAGAAAGTTCATTTTGTCTTGTTCCAGCCAAAGGCAGATGTTTCCTCCACATGTGGCTTAAAATCCTAGCACTGGAACTTCCACAGGGAACTGCGCCAGGTTTGGGAACTCCCCAGCGTGGCCTTCATTTCTCTCTCTCTCTCTCTTTCTTTTTTGTAACTTCTTTTCTCGGCAATAAATAGCTCAAAGTGTGGATTTTGAAGCCTGGGACTCCACCTAGTTAAGTCCCTGAGGCCATGATGATGTCACAGACTGTGGCTCTCAGCATGGAGGCTGGTTTGCAGAGTGCCTGTGACCATTGAGGATGTACCTAATGTGGTCTGGGGGGGGGCACATGTCAGTTACAGTGGCTGCTTCTGAAGCTTTCGTAAGATGACATCAGATGAACACTTAAGATCCCGGGAGGCCGAGTGCATGGGGCTGCCATCTGTGGCCGTGGGTGCTAGGGGGAGCCAGGCCAACCTGCATGCTTGGATAGTCCCATCTGTGCCCTAGTGGCAGGAAGGAAACCCTTATTTAAAGCCAGAACTGGTCCCAGGAGGGAGACCTGGAGCTAGAGTGTGGCCTGGTGAGTTGTATGACACCACTGAATTCCTGCTGAGGACAGGCAGGTGAGCCTGAGGTGTGATCTGAGGAGGTCCTGCCTGGATGTCCACACTCAATTCCATTCTGCCGCTCCAGTCCCTCCACACACTAGTGTTCCTCATCAACTACTAGAACCACAAAACAGTCCTTGTACTGTGGACGTGGTTTCCAGAGCACTCGTGCAGAAAGCTCCTCCGAGAGTCAGGCTGAATGGGTTCATTGGACCCTTCCGCAGACACTTGGGGAAGGGCCTTTCCACTTTGTTGGGTCTTTTAGTTCTCTTGAGAATCTTATTGAGTACATATTTCCTATTTTACAGATGACAGCAGCAAACAGCTTAGAATCCACATCTTGAGCCCATGCTCTCCCATCTCTGTTTGAGAGGATGGGGGTTTGCTTTTTCATGGGATGTTTGGTACTTGAGTATTAATCTCAGTCTTGTGTGTAGTAGGCACATGCTCTACCACTGAGCAGCACTTTAGCCTTACATTATCATCCTTGTGTGTTGCAACGGTGTCCCTCACATTCAGTCCCTGGCTTAGTGATTCCAGATCAGGATCCATCACATTGCAACCCTGTGTCTGGAAAATTCCCAAGTGCATCATGCTGCAGTGAGATTCCCACAGGGAATAAGGCATTTGGTTCACAGTATGCCAGGATTCCTTGCTTAGAGTGTGACAAGATCTGAGACCCAGTAAGAAAAGGAAAGATTATGTACAAACACCATACTAGGTGGGTATATACCATGTTGTGCATGAGTGTGTGTATGCACGTGCACGCACACACACACACACACACACACACACAGGGGGAGAGGGGAGTGAGCTTTGGGGGGGCAAGCTCTGCACAGAGGCTCTGGAGCCTCTGTGTTTTGCTTCCTTGTTGGAGGCTCAAGGAGTCATCCAAGAAACGTCAGAGACTTGAAGCATCCACCCTCCCCTCTGAGAAGCACAGGTCTCATCAGGCTTCCCTGGCAGCCTCCCTGATGCACAGACAGCAATAGAGAGGAGTGGGTGTAAGAAAGCAGCTACCTTCCCTTGAAGAGCATCACTCAGTGGCCTCCATGTCATCAACCCCCCAGAATCTTTTGTCCCCCTGTTTCCAGGCCATTTACACACCTAGGTGATGAGCAGGGTCTGTGCTCCTGTGTGGGTCTGATGTGAATGGAATCCAGGAAGAAATGTCTGTTATTTTGTTTGAGTTTCTCAGCATGAGTATATAACCACCTGAGGTGGTAGGCTATCCTGCTGCCTGGCTTTCCTGGAAATGGATGGAAGATGGGCTGAGGAATCAAAGGCTGGATTGTTGGGAGTGCATAGCCTGACTTCCCAGAGCAAGGATTTGCTGGGTGTCTGAGGGTTTTTAATTGTTGTGAATAGGCACCATGACCACAGCAACTTTTATAAAGAAAATATTTAATTGTGGTTGGCTCACTTACAGTTTCAGAGGTTCCGTCCATTATGATCATAAAGGGGACCATGGTGGTGTGTGCAGACATGGTACTGGAGCTGAGGGTCCTATGTCTTGCAGGCAACAGGAAGTTGACTGCCTATCACACTGAGGGAAGCTTGAGCAAAAGAGACCTCAAAACTCACCCCCACAATGACACACTTCCTCCAAAAGGCCATACCTCCTAATAGTGCCTCCATTTAGGGGCCATTTTATTTCAAAACACCGCAGTGGGTGATATCCTCCTATGAGTGATCTTCAAGTCGTCTTTTGCCAGTGACTGGTCTCTGACTCTGAGAGTCAAGCAGTCCCAGAACTAGCTTAGAGTCAGGGGGTTATTCAGTTTTGAAGTATGACAGCCTGGCAGAAGGTTCCAGAACAGATTGCCAGCCAGGTACACATTGCCTCTTTATCATTCTCATTATGTTTTCTCTTCCTATGTAACATGGGCCATAGGTGTCTTAGCTTAATCACTGGCTGCCTGCTGCCTGTGGACCCTGTCAGCAGAGGTGCACCAGCTCATAACAGCTGCTCATTTCCTGAGGTACTGACTGCCATAGAAGCCACTGTTTAAGTGAACTAAAGACTTTTTGTCCTCAGCACTTTTTAGAAACAGTCTTTGTTTCTGTCACTGGGGAGTCTGTGCCCTCCACTGGACTTGAAATGCTAGGTATCCACAGATACACAGCCACTGTCTCAGAACTCACAGACCTGAGGAGGGAGACAGTCGGAATCAAGGCTGGGAAATGTGGCAGATTGTGATAAATGTGATAACAGAGACATAAATAACTTGTGTGGGGCACACACAGCCTAGAGAATCCAGCAGATGTCACTGTGAAGATGGTGTCTGTGTTGGAGGTTGAACTGTGACTAGGGACATCAGCAGTTACAGAGCCAAGATGGGACAGAGAAGAGCAGCCAGCCATGGCTGGCACCCAGTGGGGATAAGGCTAAGTGTCTCCCAGTTAGGGAGTAGGGGTGTCAGTTTCTGGGGATCTTTGACCTCATTTTCCATCAACCATGGTCAAGACCCTTCTTTGACACCGTCTCCTTACCTGCCTTTCTTTCTCTATGATGATTCTAGTAAAAGCAGACAGTAGTAACATCACTCACAGCAAAGCATCCAGAGAAGTGCAGTGGGTTGCCATGGAAATGTCTGTACCCATCTGATGAGTCACCAAGATACAGTCCGGTGTGCAGCATTGTGAGGATCCTGAATCAGTTTGTGCCCAAGCATTAGCAAAGCAGATAAATGGACAAGGTTGCTATTCATACCAGTATTGCCCAGTAAGCATGTCCTGGAGATTGACAGTCCCCGTGGATGTGTGGCATCACCAGCAGTTTCCCGTGGCTGGCACTCCAGCCTGGTGCATGTGGGGAGCTGTGCCTTCTCCAGCTACAGGACGCAGAGCCACCTCCTTGCTTGACCTGGATCTAAGGAGAGGGGTCTGGACTCCTGGCCAGGAATCAGGACCTGCAGCTTGTCCCTGACCTGTGCTTACTGGAGCCCAGGCCTCCTGCTTTCAGTCCTAACTGTTATCCTGCAGTTAACTCTCAATGGTGATAAGGTTGTCTATAAAATGCAAAGCACACCTCATGTCTGAGACCAAAGTGTGCTTCAGGAAGCTGAGGGCTAGCTACAGTATGAAAGACAGCATAGCAGACCAGGGACTTAGGATGATGGATAAAGTCAACATCCCCAGTGTGGTAGAGGCTAGAGCCTGGCTGCAGAAGAGGCTGGGCAGTTTCCCAGTAGAATAGAGAGAAGGGAGAATGAGAGATGGAAGCTTAGCCAGAAGAGCCATTAATTTGTAAGTAAGGGTAGGGAGAGAAGCTTCTAGAAGTATGTTTTCATGTGGGGAATGGCCCCTGAACCCTCCCACGTATCCCCTAGAGCAGAGAGCCACATGCTCTGACCAAGGCCAGCACCTGCCGCCTGATCTGTGTCTGTTCACATTGCCAGTTTGTCCTGACAGTACCGCTGTCAACTGAGGCCCTAATTCCTTAAGCTGAGGGCGTTACTACCATACATGTCAGGCAGTCTGCCAAACGTGCAGCCATAGCAAAGCCCTGGGACCTGGAGTCAGAAAGTCAGAAAAAGAGAAGAGAGAGCAAGGTATTTGTCTTCACCTTCTAAAGATGGGACTGTTCTAGGTGGTGACAACAGTGTGGTCACAGGCATCGTCAGTGCTGACATTTACCAAATTACGTGGCCATTGAGCCAGAGGCAATAAAGGTCTTCAATTTGATGTCACTGCACTTTAGACTGCTGTTAAGAGAGTAACTTTCTATTAATTGTGTGCACACCTGAACTTTATTCCAAAGTGTTCTCCCACTAAGAAATTATAATCACAGCTGACACTTAAAATATTGACTATGAAAAATATCCAGCTGTATATGTTACCAGTTTTAACCTGCTGGTTTTCTTGTGGATGCAATGAATGCATTGTTGAATTGGTCATCGAAACACACTATAAATTCTATTACATGAGTATTTGTATTGTCCCACATTATACAGTAACTGAGCTCAGCAATAGCACTGTGAGCCCAGAGCCTCACAGGTCACAAACTGCAGAGATGGGCAGAGAACGCCATAGTCGGTGCACATAACTAACATTGTAGTCTCTGAGAAAATACCATACAGCCTTGGCTGGTTATCTGTCTTGTTCATCCATTCTGGAATCTGATGTCTTCCCCTGGACGTGGCATATGTAGAATGCTGTAGCGTATGAGATGTGATTCAGTTGAACAAGGCTACCCATCCCTGGGACCTCAGGCTACAACAGAAAAGGATCCAGATGAGCAAGATTCCAAGTAGGTATCCTTTGGGGAGTTGAGGCAGATGGTTGATTTGTGTTGTGCAATTCTGGGAATCAAAGCTTGTGAATGCCAAGCATGGACTCTACCCCACAGCCCCATCCCCAAGTGAGGTGTACAGAGGCAGAAGAAAGGGACAAGGTGTTAAGAGTTTGGTTTTTCCTGGCAGCCTGGAGCCACAGCTACACCAGCCCCAAATAACACATAGTGATGCAATATTAGATATAATGCTGTTGGCCTGTTACTAGCATTTCTTATTGGCTAGCTCTGTCTTAAATATTAACCCATTTCTATTAATCTAAGTATTTCCACGTGGTCTCTTCTTACCAGGAGAGGGCCCGGACCTCTGTTCTCTCCAGTCTCTACATCTTGACTCCTCCCTACTACTTCCTCAAATCCTCCTTGTCTCCTAGTCCCACCTACCTTGCTTTCCTATTGGCCAACAGTGCTTTATTCATTAACCAGTATGAGAAACATATTTACAGAATGGCATCTCCCATCAGCAAGGTGTGACACAGGGATATGGTGAGCCCGTCTGAATTAGATCTTAACAGGCGTGCCCTGAACTACAAGAGATAGGGCCAGGTAGGAAGACCACAAGCTTGGCAGGCCAGGAGTCAGTTTGTCAAGTGTGTGAGTGTGCCAGTATGCACACCACACAGCATCTTGAAGTCTGTGCCATTCCCAAGGGGCAGTTGGCTACTATCAGTTTGCCTCACTATTTCTGCTTGGGTGACAAAGAACTAATTATTCTTTGTGACATTAAAAAAAAAAAAAAAAAAAAAAAAAAAAAGGAAGGATTTGCAGCTGAGATGGTGCCTGTGATCCGCTTCATTGAGTAAATAGTGCCAAATAAACACTTAACCTGCTGCCCGGTCTGTGAGCAGAAGGTAAGTAGATAGAGCCTCACACAGCCCAACAACATGTGGCAAGGTCCTGGAGCCAGGGCTCCTGAGCACAGTGCAGAAAGGGGGCCTCTTTGCCTACAGCAGCCCACGAGATGTGCTGTCACCCTTCTCCTTCCCCTCAGGAACTGACAAGTGGCTTCTGGTGTCTTAAGGCCACCTCATATTGGCATTAGATGACAGGAAGGATCTGCTTCAGGCACACACTCCCAGGCATGAAGAATGGCAGCATCAGAGGGATCAGGAAGTTGGTCAGGAGCAATGCTTCATGGGCCCTGCAGAGGCCCAGGGTCTTGTTTTAGGCCTCTCCGTGGTTATGAGGCCATTGAATCACTGTGTCTGACCTATCAGCTCTTGCTGAGGGTAGGAAAGTGCACGCTGTGTGCTGTGAAGACCTCCTATAAAGCAGGTAAGAGAAGATGGGTCCTTGACACCTGAAGGTTGTGCTTTACAGAATGGGCCTCCTTGAGGCCCACAGGGATGTGAAGGTGTCCCTGTATCTAGTGTTGACACGTGGACGTTAGGAATATTTGCGTGTTGAGTTGTGCCTGAGCCTGATGTGCTCCAGAGCCTGGTGTTGCGATGATTAGTGGTGATTCACCCTGACACCTCACAGGACCTGAAAGTCAATCAATTTGGCTGAAACTCCTCCCCTCCCCCACAGGAGGTCCAAACAGAAGAGCCAGAAGCAGAAGAACAAGCCCACGACCAACAGCCCCAGCAGCAAGAAGAGTACTGAACCATCTCAGCAGCTCTTGACGCTTCCATCGTGTGTGCGGACTTTCTTCTGGAGAATTGGAGCGTGTGTGGCCTGGAGCTTGGTAGAAACCAGCTGTTCCTAACCTGCCGTTACCATCCACAGCGAAATTGCATCCGCCAGCCATTGCACTTGGTTCCCATTTCCTTTGCCAAGATGCATTAGCAGATAGATGGCCATTCTGGTCACCTGCCTGCGGGGTCATAGGGTCACATACCTTCAACTTCACCACTTGGCTGCTTGAAATTGGTTCTGCTCTTCCTCATTTCTTTCCAGAACAACTCTTTCCCACCCCAACACCACCACCATCACCACCACCGCTACCACCACCACCCCTTTTTATCCTGGTGTGAAACAATGGTAATTTGGTATATGGTATTTATATTGGCATTTCTCAACCCAGTGTCACTAGATGTCACACGCATTTGTGGTGCTTTGATGTTTGCGAGTCTAACCTGTCATAAATTTGGTCAGATAAGTAATTGGAACAAAGGGAAACAGATACTTGATATGAAAGCCATATGACAGTAGCTTGTGTCATGGGGGAAACACAGTTTCTCCCTCTACTCACAACACTAAAGGGAAAAAAAATGGATTCAAAACTAGGACTTCAGGGCCCAGCAGTGTTGATAGAGCAGCATATTAGACAACCACAGTTGTTAGTTTTCAGCATTCACTCATGGACAACACCATCTCAGCTTCGCCCTTGCTCTGCGTGCCCTCTCCTCCCTCCCCACTTCCCACACTCTCATGTTATTTTCTTTTCTCAGGGTCCTCTTTGGTGGGGGGTCCATTCCCCAAAAGATGTTGTCATTGGCAATCTGCAGTTGCAAAGGTGGGGAGGGTCTCAGAAGGCACAAGGCTCCCTGCCTCATCCCTCTTCCTCCTCATGAGTTCTTCAACCCAAGCCCCACAATTCACATTAGGGGATCTATATTAAAGGGGAACTTGAGGGTATACCCGACATGCCAGCCTTCTGCATTGGGTTGGTCTAGCTGTGAAGACTTGATCGGTAGCATGACTTCAGTGGAGAAGTGTGGCACTGCACAGAAACACCAGTGACTCCATTACACTCTGCAGTAAGGACTCTCCCCACCTCTGCAACACAGGGGCCCTCCTTGTCATGACATTTGCTAAAACCATGGCAATTCATAAATAGGAAACATTAATGAACTGAAAGCATTCCTTGTTATTAACTAATTATTTGCACATTTTCTTAGTGTCTTTCTTGGCCGTTGCCTGTCTTCCCCTTTTGACAGATGGTGTCCCTCCTAGCTCCCTTCTTCCATTTGGTTTTAAGTTTACTGTCACTGGTCATTTGGCCAGCAAGTACAGAAAAACAAGAAACAAATGTGCCCACCCCACCTTCCACTTAAAAATCTCAAAATAAATTTCTGAATTATGCATCATAAAGCTTTGAAATTTCTTTATTAATTGATGAGATTCTAACTTTAAATTCTAGCGTTGAAGCTTTGCACCAAGAGAAGGCTTTTCGAAATAACCCTTTACAGCAGCTGTATGTACTGAGGTCTTTATGGGAAGATGGCTTGCATTCTTGAAATGATCACAACACACTGTGCAGAAGTGGACAGATGTTCCATGGTATTTGGTTCCCCCTTTCTTCTCTCTCCTGCTCTCTCAGCCCTACAGCAGTAGCTCATCTCTGAGGCTGGAAAGTCTTGCTCCTTGTAGTGACATCCTCCCACATGCCTGGTTGTAGTAGTGGCTGTGCTATACACAGCATCAGGCTTACTGGTTTGTTGCTCTTCTGAGCCTATTTTATTCACTCTGGTTTTTTGTTTGTTTGATTTTTTTTTTTTATATAGCTATCATAAAGAGGTACAACAAACAGCTTCTCATGGATACCTGAATGGTTGCTTTACCTGCCCAGGAGATCACAGTAACACCTAGGGCTGGATGATTCATGGCCACACTTCTATGAATGGGTACAAGGGAGTGGGGATCTGGTCTTCTCCCAGGCCTCTTGAGGCTGTTAAACTTGCATAAAGCTCCTCCAATGCCTCTTGCTGGAAGTACTTCTTGCTGGAAGTCCCTCTCCACCTCCCTGGACTGCTTAGCTGGCGTTCTACTGGCCACATGTCATAGCCTGAAAAGAGCGTTCCCCATCTGGTAATCGCTATTCTCCTTCCCAGTGGCTCAAGCCAGACCATTCACCCATTTAGAGAAAAGCTGTACCTCTTCTTCTCATGTCCATCTTAAATATCTTCTCAAGTGTTGTGCCCCAGATGATGCCATGGATGCTTGGTGGGAAATCCTTCACAGCTATTTCCAAGTTAATCCTAGGCTGGAACTCTTGCCTCTGGGCACCCACCGCTAATGGATGGTGGGACACATTCATCCTCTTATCTTGGCATTCGGGGCACACGTTCCTCTAAGCCCCAGCCCAGTCACATGACATCATATTGAGTTCAGAAGCATCCCAGCATGTGTGCCCTGCTCCTCCCTCTCAGGAAGTCTATTTTTTTTTTTTTTTTTTTTTTTTTTTTTTTTTGGTCATCCCACACCCACTGATGCCTGCTTATAGCACTTCCATCACACCGCTGTCAGATTGGAAGTGATCGAAGCAGGGGACAAAGAGAAAGCTCATGTTCATTCTAAGTAGGAAAGCAGGACTGTTGAACTGAGAGAAGGAAACTCCGGAAGGGAACCGCGATTCCCTCCCTTCCCTAGTGAGTGTCTCCATTATTCCGTTAAGGGTTAATATGCATTCAGATTACTTTTACTAAATAGTACACCATAAAGCTTTTGTTATATATTAAATGTAAACTGAAAGGAATGTAAACATATGTATTGTTAATTATAAATATCGATAAGTAATGGCATAATAGATGAAGAGGTCTTATTCAGATGCATCACATTCATTTTACATTACCCACCTATTGTCGCATGGTAGGATAGCTTTTTGTCTCTGAATATGTGAATAACTTGACTTGCGTTGGTCTTTTTACATATTTAATAAAAAAAAATATATGTTAAAATCTGCCTGGACTTACAGATTCTTACACTCTCATCCTAACAGTTGTCTTTCCAGTGAGCATGTGTAACAGGATTGTCTGTGTGGATTCACAGATCAGTCCACATTCTGTTAGTGACTTACACAGGGAAGGGAAGGTGTCTTTGTATTTGTTGACAGATAAATGTTTTAGCAGGAAGTACAGATTCTTATTTGAAATCAAATGTAGCAACTGTACTATCTTAAAAAGCAATTCTACCTAGTGTCATACTTCGGGTTATGATTGCTGCGATGAAACGCTGTGGCCAAAAGCAACTTGCAGAGGAAAGGCTTTCTTTGGCCTACAAATCTGAGTCATAGTCCATTGAAAGAAGCCAAGGAAGGAACTCACACAGGAAAGGAACCAGGAGGCAGGAGCTGATTGGAAGGCCATGGAGGAGTGCTGCTTACTGGCTTGCTCTATCTGCTTTCTTACAGAACCCAGGATCACCAGCCCAAGGTGGTACCACCCACAATGGACTGGGCCCTCCCACATCAATCACTAAATAGGAAAATGCCCTACAGGCTTGCCTACAAGAGACAGACCCTCTTCTAACATGACTATGCTTGTGTCAACTTGGCATAAGATTATCAAGTATACCATATACATACATATACAGTTATTCACACACACACACGATAAAATACTCCCTTAAGAAGCTTTGCTCTTGGAGGGCTGGAGAGGTAGCTCAGGGATTGAGAGCACTGGCTGCTCTTCCAGAGGACCCAGGTTCAAATCCCGGAACCCACGTGGCAGCTCACAACTATCTGTAACTCCAGTTCCAGTGAACCTGACACCCTCAACACAGACATTGTACACACAGGAAAAACACCAATGCACATAAAAAATAAATAACTCATTTTAAAAAGAAAAAGAAAGCTTTGCTCTTGTGAGTAATAGCTTGCTGACATGTGCAGGTCCAGCCTGCCCCTCCTGGACAAGACAATGCTGGGAAAATAGTTACAGGGAGAAGCCAACTATAGTGGCAATTCTTGATTGACAACTTCACTACATCTGGGATTAACTAAAACCTAGATGGCTGGGCACACCCACGAGGGATTCTTTCTTAATGAAATCATTTGAAGTGGGAAAACCCACTTCTAATCTGGATCTTTGGGGTAGGAAGACCCACCTTTAATCTGGGCCACCCCTGTGGGCAGCCTCTATCAAGGTCGTGGAAGGAGAAAGCACTCTGTCTTTGCCGTCTTGCTCTTTCTCACAGCAAGTCTGTCCCTTTGCGGATATCAAAGTCCCCTTCTGCAGAATTCCGTGTATACTGAAGACCAACGGAGACATCCAGCCTCGTGAACTGAATAACTACTGGATTCTTGAACCCTCCATTCATAGGCAGCCATTGTTAGATTAGCTGGACCACAACCTGTAAGTCACTGTAATAAAGCCTCATTAAATACAGGTAAGTTCTGTTCTTCTAAAGAACTTTGGCTAATCCACTGACCTTCAGGGGAAGGTTTTCTAGCAGAAGGACTCAACTGGAATAAGCTCTTTGTATGTGTCTTTATCACTCATGTTGATTACTGAGTCTCAACAGTGATATTCCACATAGGATATGAGAGAAAATATAGAACTTAAAGGTACCAGGGTAGATGAAAAAGAAAAGCACTAAAATTGGCCTGGCAGAGAGGGAGTTCCCGAGGTATCAGAGTCAGAATATGTAAGAAACCAATGGCACAGGAAGACTGGGAACCCCTCTGATTTCCGGTCACATGCTGCAAAACAGAGCTATTTCTCAGAGAGCTCTGACTAAAACAGTTCTCTAAAATTAAATAGGCAGCTTCCTTACCCTGAGCATGAAGGCTAGGCCAGAGGGCACAGGGTTGGATCTCAGGCTCTCTGGGCCTCCAGTTCCTGTTTTGCTGAACTCATAGAAGAGCTTTGTGATGTGCCAGAAGGGAAAGCTGAACTGGAGGAAAAATCTATGGACACCCCAAGGGCCTCTGTGACGCCCCAAGAACCTCTGTGATGACCCAAGAACATCTGTGATGACCCAAGAACCTCTGTGATGACACCCGAAGGGCCTCTGTGATGCCCCAAGAGCCTCTGTGATGACCCAAGAACCCCTCAGTGATGCCCCCAAGAGCCTCTGTGATGACCCAAGGGCCTCTGTGATGCCCCCAAGGACCTCTGTGACACCCCAAGGGCCTCTGGCATCCAGCACTTGGACTCAGAGCACAGGCCTGGGCTCTGACCTACCCTTAAGGCAGCATGGTGGGCCCAGCTAAAATTAATAGACTGGCTTTTTATTTCCTGTAAAAGTATGAAGACTGTTCAGCTTGCCAAGTTTTAATCTCTCAACCATGTTTATTGTAATATTTTGAACTCCTTTATCAAGACTGGGTGTAAATTTTGTGTTTCTGAAAAGTAATGTCATATTAATATATCTTTGAATGTGTGAAATATGAGTAGGAACCAACCCCACAGCCCAGTGCGTTCTTCCAGAGAATTAAAGCTAAGTACATACTTCCTCTTGAGCAGTAAGCAACCTTGAACTCTCATACTATAACATTGCCTCAAGTCTTAAAGGTCACCCGTACAAAAGAAAGGGTTTTAAAGGTAGGTTACCAAGGCCAACCCTATATTCAACTCTAGAATACTTAGTTTGTTTTAGGAACCTAGATTCAATCTCCAGAAGCAGATTTCTCTTGGTTAAAGGTTGAGTGAGCCTATAGGAATTAGAAAGTACTGGAAAATGTGCAGAATTTCACTCTGACCAAAATCATAGCTTGTTCTGGTGTGCTCACCTCCAGTGTGATATAGTTATTCGGTGATAAACTCTGACCTTCCACTAATGGAAAACTGCTCCCCATCCCCATCCCCACCCCAAGACAGGATTTGTCTGTGTAGCCTTGACTGTCCTGGAACTCGCTCTGTATGTAGACCAGGCTGGCCTCGAACTCACAGAGATCCACCTGCCTCTGCCACCAGAGTGCTGGGATTAAAGGTGTGCACCACTACTACTGTAATGGTAAACACTTAAGGAGCTTGGAAGACTCCATCTCCCCACCACCACCGGAAAAACAAAAAAACAAAAACAATAAAAAGGCGAGTTACGTTAGTTTCTTCCAAATTTTTAAAATTTATTATGATTGCTGTTGTTGTTCTTACTGTTATGGAAATGGGATCTCACTGTGTAGCTTTGGCTAGCCTGAAACTCACTATGTAAACCAGACTGTCCTTGAGTTCTCAAAGATCACCTGCCTCTGCCTGAGTGCTACAATCACAGACGCACCACCATGTCTGGCCCTATATATCATCCGGGGGTTCTGGAGATCAGATCAAACTCAGGCTTTTTTTTTTTTTTTCCTGGTGGGGTTTTTGTTTTGTTTGTTTGTTGGTTGGTTGGTTGG